AGTAGTCCGTTCTATTCTGTATGACAATGGCTCCTCCTTTATTGACTAGTTTGATGACAATTGTCGCAATTGGTGTTGAGAGCACGGATGGCATTGCGTTGTGCCTGGGTGACGTTTTGCACTACCTTGTGAGTATGACTGATGAGTCTGCATTCACACATTCTCTGGCTTGAGCATACCTGTCAATGCCAGGCAACGGCCCTCCAGACGGGTCCAATTCGACAACTCCTTTGCCCGCTTCCCCGTGGATCTCTTTCAACTGATCCAGATCATTGTTTGTCTCATCGGGCTCGCTGCTGACATCTTGGAAGAATTCCCGGAGTCTCATTCGTCTGATGAATTCCTCTGTGTCTGCTGCGAGACCAATGGTGTCCATTTTATTGGTGGGGCAGAAACTGAGTCCTCAGCTGAGAACTTCAGTCTCGTCTGGTTGAAGTGTGTGGACAGATAAGTTTACGATTGATTTTCCCGTGGCGGTACCGCCTTCATCTGTGGTACCAGGGAGACTTGGTTATTGCTGGTGGTGATGCCAAGTTTCTTCAATTTCTTGTTCTTGGTGTGCATGTAAGTGATGTAGTGCCGTTACCTCATCTGTTTGGCAGTGTCTCGTAACTGTACTGCTGTATCTTGAGCGCAAGCTGAGAATATGGATTCTATCTCGATTTCAAGGTTACAGCGCTTGCTGTAGAGTTGGTACATGAGATGATTGAGCATTTTGTGAGAGGTGCGATGGCAAAGTCTCTCAGCGCAATCAGTGTTGTAGGTCGACTTAAGTGGGTTCGTGATCTGTAGCCCTTTTGGGATCTTTTGTGCTTTCTTGCATTTCTGTAGAAACTTGATGTCTGTGCGCGATCTTCTTGGAGATCCTCTCCACTTTGAGCTGGCAGCTGGTGGTGTTGATGATAGCCGTGATGTGGAGGTGCTGGTGCTGGACTGGGGTGGACAAGATCAGAAGTCGCATGGCACCAGGTTATAGTCCAACAGATTTGTTTGAAAACACAAGCTTTTGGAGCCTCAGTCCTCCTTCAAGTGCTATTGAGAGAGGATAGTGTCAGATACAGAATTTATCAGTAAAAGATCAAAGGTTCACACCATTGATGAGGATGTACTAAACAGACTGATGATGCTGTTAAATCTTTAATCAGTTGGAAGATTTTAATTGATATGTAAATCCATGAATTCCTTTCAAGTCACGGCCCTGAGAGAACTAAAGATTTTATCAGTGTAAAGAAGCGGTGACATTTTAGATCAGACAGTGCATGTTAGGTGTGAGGCTTTGTTTCGGATCAGTTCACATTTTGTGTACTTATGCCTAAGATGGCGCTGTGTGTGGTGACATTGTATATTTTTCACTGTACTCCTGCACTTTTGTACATGAGTACATGTGTCAATAAAACCTATTTCTAATACTCTAAATATACTTAAAACAGCCTTGGGATTTGCCTTAATCTTACCTGCCAAAGACATGGCCCATCTCTGCCTTACTAATTTCCTTTTCAAACACTCCCTACACTGTACTGAAGAAGATCCTTTTTTTCAAATGCTGTAGCTGACATATGCTTCCTTCTTTTTCTGTGTCAAACACTCGATATCTCTTGAGATCCAAGGTTCCCTGGACTTGCTGCCCTTGTTCTTCACTCTTTGACGAACGCACTGGCCCTGAATTCTCACTTTATTACTTCTGAAAGACTCCCACTTTCCAAGCGTGGACTCGGCTGCTGCCTATTATTTGCCAGATCCTGTCTAATGATATTAAAATAAATCTTCCCCAAATTTAGACACGATATTTCTGCAATATCCTTATTTCTTTCTGTAATGACTTTGAAACTTAGAGTTATGGTCACTATCCCAAAAATGCTTGCCCACTGAAACTGCAGCCACTTGACCAGCTTCATTCCCAAGAATTTGATTTGGCATTGCCCTATCTCTAGTAGGACTATCTATGAACTGGTACAAAAAGCTCCCCTGAACGCACTTTAAAAATTCCACACCATCTAATCCTTTTTCACTAAGGCAATGTTAGTGTTAGAAAAGTTGAAATCCCCTCCAACTACAACCCTATTTCTCTTGCACTTTTCTGTGATTTGCCGATATATTTTCTCCTGTACCTACAGGGATGCCTATAGTATAATCCCAGCAAAGTGATTGCCTTTTTATTAACTTCTAAGATTTGACAAATGACCTCATTTGAAGATCCTTACGCGTCATTCACCTTCACTATTGCAATGATGGTTTCTTTTCTCAGCAATGCAATGCCCCGACCTCTCTTTATATCGACTCCATTCCGCCTGAAACTTAGCTGTTCTTGCCTTCCCCTGAGAGGCTATACCCCCCACCTCCAACAACAGTATCCAATGTGTTATATGCCCATTCTTAGTTGTCTTCCTGGTAGTCGTCCAATACGTTTCTGTCTGTGAGGCCCTTGCGTGTGTTGTGACCAACTTGTTAAACGTGTCATCCAAGATGCCTGCAGTGTCGTGGACACTCTACAGTGAGTCAGTCCGCAGCTCCAGGCACTCGGTGTGGTCAGTCAGGGGCTGCACCTGAACACACTTCTGCATACGTGGTCACCATGGACACCGTCAAAAATCACACGACACCAGTTTATAGTCCAACAGGTTTATTTGAAATCACAAGCTTGCTTAAAATAAACCTGTTGGACTTTAACCTGGTGTCGTGTGATTTTTGACTTTGTCCACCCCAGTCCAACACTGGCACCTCTACGTCATGGCTACCATAGACACTGGAAATGTCCCTAATTTCCCACATATTGCAGGAGGAGCATTATCCTGCCATTGTAAACCTTACCAACTATAAACAATAAACTGGGAATCAATTACTCAACCATACCCACTACCCACCACCCACCTAATCAACTTTCTCACTCGTTTTCTCTCTTTAGTTGTAACAAAATACAAACAATGAAAACTAAGGACTTTACACTCTGTCTCCCTCCTGTACTACTTTCTCAGTGCCTGCATCTGGTTCCTAAGCAGCCAATCCTCTAGCCCTGCATCACTATTTGAAACCTGATGTCACTTTAAGAGCTCCGCCTCTGGATTCTGTGAAAATTCCACCCACTCTGACTGAGTTTGATCCACTTCTCTTCTGCTGTGTTGCAGGTAGACAGGATGGTTATGAAAGCATTTAGCACACTTGCCTTCATTGCCCCGACCACTGAGTATCAGAGTTGGAATGTCATATTGCAGTTGTACACAACATTGGCGAGGCCATTTGTGGAGTACTGTGTGTGGTTCTGATCGCCCTGCTAGAGGAAGAATATTATTAAATTGGAGCGTGCAGAAAAGATTTACAAGGATGTTACCGTGACTGGAGGGTTTAAGTTGTAAGGAAAGGCTGTAAAGGCTGGGACTTCTTTCACTGGAGCGTGAGAGGCTGAGAGGTGACCTTATAGAGATTTATAAAATCATGAGGGACATAGATAAAGTGAATAGCTAAGATGTTTTCCCCAGTGTAGGGGAGTCTAAAACTAGAGGGCATAGGTTTAAGGTGAGAGGGGACAGGTTTAAAAAGGACCTGAAGAGCAACTTTTTCACATAGAGGCCGGTTCGTATGTCATGTCATTTTGTCAGTGTCTAAATGTGTGTGTGTTGGGATTGAGGTGATCTTGTTTTGTCTGCATAATAGCTTAAGTTGATAACCAGTTTGGCTACAGGAACAAATCAGGAACAAAGAGAACTAAATTGACCATTTTTGTGATTTCATGTAGGTTTACACTTTTGGTTACAGCTCAGTGAATGCTGGGTCTTCATTTCCTGCACTCTTCTCTCATTAGACTAACATCAATATTTTTACCTTTACAAAATATCAAATTAGTTTACTTTATTACTTCGCACTTCCTGTGTGCCTTGTATGTCTGAGAGGTTTTACAAACAGAGGACCCTTGGATACCCTGTATCCTGGAGCCTGAGAATCTTTCAGTAACCTTATCAATCATGCAGTGGCCACTGATCCAACTGTACATTAAAAAAAACGTAATTATTGTCGTAAAAATATCTAATAGTATGAAATTGGATTATCAAATGTAAGTTAATTGGGAAAAATCCTGGTTTTGAGAAATACCTGTAATTACCATTGGCCCATGTTTATTTAATAGAGTTAGAGTTAGAGTTAAAGGTGTGAGTAGAATAAACAGCAGGTTGTTTTCTCTCGAAATGGAAATAGTAATTCTGGTAAGTTGTGATTTAACCCTAAGCTATGCATCACTCGTGCAATTTTCCAGATCAACAATAGGTTGATAAATAACTGGTCAACAGAGCAATACCTTAAAATATCTATATATTTTTCGGATCAAAGGGCAAGTTTGGGAATTGATGTTAATTAGTTTAAATCTCCAGCTGGGACATCCCATGTGTGTCACATTGCCATGGGACAGGTTACACGATGGTGAGCTTTCCTTCTGTTTTGTTTATATCTGTGTATTCTCTCTGACACAGGCAATTTAGAATCAGACAGATAGAGGTTGTAGGCCAATGGTCTAAATGCATTTGAATGTGTGTGCCCTTGGACATGATCTACAGCTGGAATTACTGGGGCAGTATGCTGAAGGAATTCCAAAATACACTATAAAACCAAAATTCAATGACACTCCTGATGAAAGTCCCCCTTGATTCTCCAGTTTCAATGGCGGGCTTTTCTTTTCTGTGTAAAGTATGAAGACTTTTTCACAGGTTGTGCTTTGAACTCTGCTTTAAAACTTTTGTTTGTTTCCAATCTTATTTGTGCATAATATGTACTGTTGGACAGGGCTGTTTTTGAGTAAAGCTTCTTGTTGAGCTATTGCTAGCACAAACTGGATCAGGCATCTAAAGCTGAGCTGGGCTAGGTTTGGAAAGTCAGATTGGGAAGAGCTCTAAGTTAAGTTGTGGTTTCACAATATTGTTTAAAGTCTACTCGTGTGGCCAAAATTTATAGCACTTTTTTCTCTGACTTGACTGACTCTGATGTTACTTCACTGATTGTTCCTTGTGTGATTCCAGGTTGATTTATCCCATCCATCCATCCTTCAGGATCTTAGCCTTGGCCGAGCCTCCTGTTGTAGGCAGTGGCGCTCAACAATGGCTGGGATCGGAGCTGCTAACCATGTTCCTGTTTCACAGTGTAAGACCACTTTCAATGAAAGAAGAGGCTGAAGTCCTTACAAAAATGGTAAGCATTTCTTAGCTTCAGCACCTCACTTTCTGTACATTTGTGTTTTTATGAGATGTTTTGAAGTAGCCCCATTAAGGGGAAGGCTGTGCTGTAGTAGCTGAGTAATCCATGCTAATAGTCTGGCAACAATGGTTCAAATTCCATCATGGCAGCTAGTAGAATTTAAATGGAGATAAATTTGGAGCTAATCTTGGTAATTGTTTACTGTATTTACAAACAAAGCCTACCCTGGTTCACTAAAGTCCTTTAGCAAAGGAAGTGCATCGTTGTTACCTCATCTAGTTCATATGTGACTCCAGACCCGCAGCAATGTGGTTAACCATTAGCTGCCCTCTGAAGTGGCCCAGCGAGTCACTCGGTTCAAGACCAATTAGGGATGGGCACAAATGCTGTCCTAACTGGAGATGCTCACGTTCCATAGATGAAAAGAAAAACAATGTGAAATGAATCCTGCTGAATTGCCCAAATATTGGTGGTTAGGAAATATCAATTGGAAATCAGCAACCCTATCTGCTGCTTCAATGTCCAGGCTTGAGATAACCATGATAAATGACTTGTTTGACATGCAAGTGCCAGATAATGACTGAAAATTCCTGAACCTCCCTTCCCACCACCACTGTGTGTGTGATGGATTCTAATCGCTCATTCTTAAGGGCAATTAGAAATGAATTATGGATGCTGGCCGTGCCAGTGACATGCACATTCCATGAAAAAAAATTATCATATTCATAAAATCCTTCTTCCTGCATCATTGTTACTTTTAGATATCTATTAAGATATTATAAGCAGTATATCTTGGATGCGTTTACTGTTCATACAGTTTTTTTGTTACTGTCAACCATCTACGTCGCACGGAAAATTATGAAGGGCTGAGGTTGGGTGCACAGCAGTAACTGAGACTGGGGTTGAAACAAACAGGCTTTATGATGTGTTAAGTTGCATTCTATTTACGTTCATGGAGACCTTCCTGTCATCAGTGTCCATCCTATTTACTTTCGTGGAGACCTTCCTGTCATCCAGATCTGATGTAAAACTGGGACAAAATGGAGTGAGATTCCTAGTAGGAGCCTGACTCACTTTGCTTCCCTTTGTAGTCAGCAAAAAGCTTCACCGATAATTTTTGACAAGTGTTTTCACTGCAAACTGTTGCTCATGAGATGTGAATTTATTTTTGTGGATGTTGGATTTTTTGGCCAACATTGAACAGCAAAATGCCAAGCTATCATTTCAGGTTTGATTTAGCTTGCTTGCCATTTTAACAATTGATGAACAGAAGCATAAATTCTGCAAACATTCCATGTAGGTCCAACCTTACAAAGTGTGATTTGATTTGTTCATTCACCATGAATGAATGGCCTCTCAAAATTACACTGAAATGTGGTAGAACATTTGTTTTGTTCACAGGTCTGTTTCAACCCTAGACAAGGCTCTGTGGCAAGTAATTGAGTATAGATGCAGCATGTAAGTACAGAAGAAAGAGGAGTAGGAGTAGACCAGTTAGCCCATTGAGCTTACTTCAATGTATAATATAATCCTAGCGGATCATGGCTGAACTCCACTTTCCTGTCTGCTCCCCATATTCCGTGATGCCTTTAGACATCAAAAATCTGTTTCTCCCAGTATTAAAACTATTCAACAATGGACAATTCACAGACTTCGGGGCAGAGAATTCCAAGCAATCACAACTTTTTGAGTGGGGAAATTTCTCCTCAGCTCAATCCTAAGTGATTGACCACTTCCTGAGACCATGCCCCATGTTCTAAAATCTCCAGCCAAGGGGAAACAACTTCGCTCGTAACAGTCTTGTCAAGCTCCTTCCTAATTTGCTCAGCCTGTCATCAATGGACAACTTTCCCTTCCCAGGAATGAATCAACTGAGCCTTTGCTGTTCTGCTTCCAATGAGAGCTTATTCCTTCTTATGGAGTCCAAAGCTGCATTCAGTATTCTAGATGTGATCTTACCAAAGCTATTCATAGCAAGACTTCTTTATTTCTGTATTCCAATCCCTTAGCAATGAAGTTCAGAATGCCATTTGTCTGTCTAATTGCTAGTTGTATCTAAATACTAACTTGGTGTTCATTCCATAAGCACACCCAAATCTGTCTCAACACCAACATTTAATAGTTTCATACCTTTGAAAAATAGTCTGCTTTTCCATTCTTATGATCAAAGTGAATGATCTCATATTTCCCCACATTATATTCCATCTGATGTAACCCACACAGTCTGTACATATTTGCAGTCTGTTTGTGTCCTCCCCACAGCTTAACCTTTTCACTGAACTTTGTATCATCAGCAAACTTATACACATTACTCTTTGCCCCTCATAATTTTATACATCTCAATCATGTCCCCACTCAATCTCCTCTGCTGTAAGGAAATCAACTCCAGTCTGTCCAACCTCTCTTCATAACTGAAACTCTCCAAACCAGACAACATCCTGATAAATTTCCCCTGCACCCTCTCCAGTGCTATCACATCCCTCCTTTCATGTGGATTATAGAGTTATATTCTAGATATGGTCCAACCAATATTTTATACTGTTTCAGCATAACCTCATTTTGCTATGAGATTACTAATTAACCTTGCTTCATTGCATAATACTAGATCTAACATAGTTTGTCCCCAGTATAAAAACAGAACATGTTGGAAGTATGTTCTCACATATCACCCCACCAACCTCTGCATCCAACATATCATTCTCCACCACTTCCGCCACCTACAATCCGACCCCACAACCAAAGAGATATTTCCCTCCCCACCCCATCTGCCTTTTGTAGGGACTGATTTCTCTACGACTCCCTCGTCCGTTCCACACTCCCCAATAATCCACCACCCCTAGCACCTTTCCCTGCAACTGCAGGAAGTGCTACACCAGCCCCTACATTCAAGGCATAAAACAGACCTTCCACATTAGACTCATTGCACATCTATCAACTTGGTCTACTGCATCCACTGCTCCCGATGTGGCCTCCTCTACGTTGGTGAGACCAAGCATAGACTCGGAGGCCATTTTGTAGAGCATCTGCACTCTGTATGCGACAAATGACAACACCTTCCGGTTACGAACCATTTCAACTGGCCTTCCCACTCCCTGGGTGACATGTCCATCCTCTGCCTCCTCCAGTGTCACAATGATGCTATCCGCAAACTGGAGGAGCAGCACCTCATTCCGCCTTGGGAGCCTACAGCCCGATGGCCTAAATGTGGATTTCATCAGTTTTAAAATCTCCCCAACCCCTGGCATCATCCCATGTCCAACCCTCCCTCTCATCCCCGCCACCTTGACCTGATACAACCTGTCCATCTTCTCTCCCGCCTATCCGCCTGTCCCACCTCACTGACCAATCCCCACCACTCCCTACCTGCACTCACCTATCACCATTCCACCTACCTTCCCCAGCCCCACCCCACCTCTCTCTATATTTATTTCCGAGCTACCTTCCCCCTCCCTCATTTCTGAAGAAGGGTCCTGACCTGAAACGTCAACTTTGCTGTTCCTCTGATGCTGCCTGGCCTGCTATGTTCCTCCAGTTCCACACTGTGTTATCTCCTACTCCATCCTCTGCAGTCCTTGCTATCTCTATATATGCCAGAAGTATGAGCTGCATCTGTGGAGAGAAAAATAAATTTAACATTTCGAGTCATATTTGACTGTTTCAGAATGAAGGAGGGTAGAAATGCGATGGGTTTTATTCTGTTGAAAAGGAGGAGGGGGTGGGCAGAAGAGATTAAATGGCAAATGTTAAACATGAAGAAAGCAGTAATGATTATCACATAGTTACATCCTAGATACCCGGTACCTGAAGTATTTTGAAAACCGAAAGAACTGCGGATGCTGTAAATGAGAAACAAAAACCAATTGTTGGAAAAGCTCAGCAGGTCTGGCAGGATCTTTGGAAAGAAACTAGAATTCGAGTTAGTCACCCTTCCTGAAGTATTTGCTTTTGTTTTAGCTTTATCCCTCAAGGGTTTGGTCATCTATTATTCCAGGAAATTGTCACAAAAACATTCAGCATATGCATCTTCTAGCCGACCCTTGCGAATTTGCTAGGACCGGTCTGCGTGAAGGTTTAAATCTTGCACAGTTTTTAAATTGCCTTTGTCACACTCTCCAACAATTTCTTGTTTAGTGCTCAATCCAACAGTGTAACTACTGTTAGAGGTATTAGAAAAATTTTGCCCATTTTAATCCTTTGATCATCCTTTAACCACGACTCTTTAATGCTGCATATAGATCAAAAACATTTATCTCTAGTTATACACCAACACATCTCTCTGATTACAGATGCTTTGTTCATTCAGATAGTGACTTCACTTTTATATTTTAATGACCTGCTTCCTGCATTAACCTTAATTACTGGTGCATAATTAGGTTGAACTCCTTGTCCCGTTTAGATTATTTTTACAATCATCACTGCTTTTCCTGTCACCTCACTTTTTCTCTTTGAATTTCTAAATCTCATTCATTCCATAAGTTTTAAGATAGTTACTGAAAAGGTTAAGAGTGGTCCTCAGGTGAAAGGTTAATTACCACAGCATTAGGCAGGAACCAGAAACATTTGATTGGGGCAACTGTTTGAAGGTAAATCCACAGCTGACTGTGGTGGTCTTTTAAAAGCCAATTGACCAAAGTTCAGCTCCAGCATGTTCCTAATAGGATGAAAAATAAGAATGGCAAGAATTGGGAACCTTTGCTGACAAAAGATGTAAGTTTAGTTAAAAAGAAAAAGGAAGCGTATGTAAGGTTTAGGAAATAGAAATCAAACAAGGCTCTTGAGGAGAATAGAGGAAGCAGAAAAGAACGTAAGAAAGAAATTAGGTGGACTAGAAGGGGCCATGAAATGTCCTCAGCAAGTAGGATTAGGGAGAATCCCAAGGCATTTTATACGTTTATTAGGAGCAAGACGGTACCTAGGGTAAGGGTAGGTTCACTCAAGGACAAAGGAGGGAATATATGTGTGAATCCAGATGAAGTGGGCAATGTCTTAATGAATACTTCGCATTAGTATCTCCCAAGGAGAAAGACGTGGCCGCTGGTAAATTTAGGGAGGGTTTGTTAATACTCTGCAACCTGTTGATATTAAGGAGGAGGAGGTGTTGGGTCTTGAAAAACATTTAAGGTAGATCAATCCCCAGGCTTGATGGGGATCTCTTACAGGATACTGAGGGGTCAAGGGAGGAGATTGCTGGGCCCTGACTGTAATCTTTGTATCTTGTTTAACTGTAGACAGGTTCCCAGAAATCTGGAGAATAGTCAATGTTGTTCCTTTACTCAAGAAGAGCAGTAGGGATATTCTGGGAAATTATAGGGTGGTGAGCCATTCATCATTGGTAGGGAAATTATTGGAGAAGGTTCTCGGAGACAGGATTTGCTCACATTTGGAGAAGAATAGACTTATTAGGAATAGTCAACATGGCTTTATTCAGGGAAGGTCTTGCCTCATAAACTTGTTAAGTTTTTTGAAGAAGTGACAAAGGTGATTGATGAGGGTAAGGCAGTGGATGATGCCTAGCTGGACTTTACTAAAGCATTTGACAGGATTCCTCATCCAAAAGATCGAATCTCATGGTGAGTTGGCAAATTGGATACAAAATTGACTGGCCATGGAAGACAGAGAGTAGTTGCAGAGGAGTGTTCTTCTGACTGGAGGATCAGTGTTATTTGTAACATGTAAAATGATTTGGATGAAAGCATCAATGACCCGATTAGTTGGTTTGCAGGTCACAGGAAAATTCGTGGAGTTGTGGCTAGAGAGGAAGGAGATCAAAGGATACAGCAGGATACAGATCAGCTGTAAAGATGGGTGGAGATATGGCAGATGGAGTTTAGTCCAGACGGAGTTTAGTCCAGACAAACTTGAGTTGATGCAATTTGGGACGTCAAATGCAAGAGGACTGTAAATGGCCAGACCTTTAGGAACATTGATATACAGAGGGATTTTGCAGTGTAAGTCCATAGATCCCTAAAACTGACAATGCGAGTGAATAAGGTAGTAAGGAATGCATATGGCATGCTTGCCTTCATCAGTCAGGGCATTGAGTATAAAGGTTGCCAAGTAATGTTGCAACTGTATAAGACATTAGTTGGGCCACATTTGGAGCACTGAGCGCAGTTCAGGTCATAACACTATAGGAATAATCTGGAGGCTTTGGAGAGGGTTTAACGGAACGTTGCCTGGATTGGAGTGTATTAGCTATAAGGAGAGGTTGGGCAAACTTGGAACTTTGGATCTTTTTAGCTAGAGTGTCGGAGACTAAGGGGGTGGCCTGATAGAAGTACATAAAATTATGAGAGGCATGGATAGGGTGAGTAGTCAGTTTCTCTCCCACGGTGGAAATGTCAAATACTAGGGGCATAGGTTTAATATGAGTGGGAGAAAATTTCAAGATGTGTGAAGAATATTTTCTACATGGAGGGTGATAGGTGCCTGGATCACACTGCCAGGGGAGGTGGCAGGAGCAGAATGTTGGCAAAGTTTAAGAGGTATTTGGACAGATGCATGAACAGGCAGGGAATAGAGGGATACAGACCATTGCAGGCAGATGGGATTAGTTTTGAATACTATCATGTTCACCACAGACTGGGTGGCCAATAAGGCCTGTGCTTGTACTGTACTGCTCTATGCCGCAACCCAACCGTCCTCACCTCTGTTATTTTAAGGCCCTATCCTCAGCATGAGTTATATGCTTCACCAGGACATCGGTCCCATCCCTGGATTAAGTGAAGACCATCTCAACAGAACTGCTCTGTCTTTCCTGATTGCTGGTGCTAGTGCCCCATTGTTTGAACCACCTTCTTCCCGCACCACTCTTTACACTAATCTGTTTGAACCTATGCCGATTGGTGTTTAAATTCTAATTCTTCAAACTCTCTAATGGAACATCATTCTTATTTTTACCTACGTTGTTGGTTCTTAGAGGAGGCATGAGAACTGGATCCCCTGCCCTCGTCCACTCCAAGTTTTTCTCCAGCCACAGCATATTTCCTTAACCCTGGCACTGGGCAAGTAATGTAACCTACAGGGCACCCAGTTGCAGCTAAAGGGAAGTGTGTCTCTTCCCCCTAACTATACTGTCCACTTATTACACTCCTTTTCAGTTCTCCCCCACTTAGATGGCATCCTGCACCATGGTGCCTTGGTCAGCCTGCTCATCCATCCTGCACTCCTGGTCCTCATCCACACAGATAACAATGACTTGATACTGAGAACTGATATACCAGTGGATACTAGATTCCCCGTACCTGCCTGATTCGCAATCATAAGCTCTTGTCACTGACCATAGACCAAATCTAAGGGGCGTCACGGCCACCTGGAACAAAGCATCTGGCTCGCTCTTCTCTCTTCTTTGATACTGTGCAAACTCCAAGGTAGCGCTCCCTATATCTTAGCATGCAGGCCTAATAGTCTCTATTCTGTGCTCTCCCTCTTGTCTTTATTTCCAACAGAAGAGCTAAAACTTAAATCTGTATTAAATCAAGGGCAGAATAAAAGCACTGCTGCAATGAATTTGTCTTAGTCAGTTGTAACTAAGCACTGCAGCCCCGGTATACCCTGCACTTCAACAGCCACTGTCATTATCTTGGGATTGGCTGTGTTCTCACACATGCGTGTGCAACAATTTGCTGTCAATCCAGAGTGGTTTGTTGCTTAGTGTTGCTGTTGTTGTGCTGTACTGAGGAATCTAGAATATGTGACATAGTCTCTGTTTCAGGGGCAATCATTTAGGACTGAGGTGAGGAGAAGTTTCTTAAGTGGACGGGGCAGGAAAGTGGAGTTCAAGACCACAGTGGCCATGATCATATTGAAATGTTCAATGATCTTGTACTGCTCTTATTTCTTGGTTTTTAGTAAGGGGCTGATCAGACCTGAAATTTCTTAGGGATGATAACAAGTGAAAGAGAAGGAAGTAAGAATACTTATCTTGCTGTCCGCAACTTCCTCACTTCCTATAGTGCAACAGTGACAATACTTAGGAAGCTATCCATTGTATTAAAGAGTTTTTTTTAAGATATTCTGAGTTTGTGAAAGGTGCTGTATAAATCCAGGTTCTTTCTACCTGATTGGAAAATTGTTGGCATGTGTTGTATTGTCTTGTTCTTGCAGATTCCACACGTCCCAGGAGAGGCTGTTGCACAATTGTTGCAATTTACCCACAAGCTTCGGCAGGCCAGCGACCCCACAGTAAGTTCAACTTGGGCACAAAATTGTACAAGTAGAACAAGCTCGAAGAAGAATGCCTGGTTAGGATATAAAAACAAAAATGCCACGTACATTCAGAAGGTCAGACAGCATCTAAGGAGGGAGAAAAGAATTGTTTTCAAGTTTTCAGGTTGTGACCTTGCATCAGAATTGGCCTTGAATGATTTTGGGTTCTCAGCCACAATGTCTAATGTGGTAAAATCCCAATCTCAGCTGTAATAGATTAAAAGGTAACAAATAGAAGCTATGAGTTGGCAGAGGACAGGAAAGCAACAGGAGCAATTAGCCAGACAGATGTGGATGACTATGATTGGCTTCCTTGCATTTCTGCTCAAATGAAGCCACTTTTGCACGTCTGTCAAAGTCATTTTATTTCCCTGCACTTAAATATCGACTACTGAAGCGCAGAGCCAATCCTTGTATTGAGTAATTTCACAATGATTTAAAAACAAAGCAATTTAAATTGTGTATTGGATTATAGAGTAATTTGGTGTGTAACATATTACAGGCTGGTCATAGCCACATTAGATCACAACCATGCAAATACATTTTTTCAATTAAAATTATTTCCTATAGGGATAGAATAAGAAATCTAAGAAAGACAGCAGTTAAACTAAACAAAAGCACTGCGGGTTCCTTTCTGGAACATGGATTTAAATGAACAAAAGCAGTAATGAACCCCGTTTAAAAGTTGTTAAATTTTAAAGTTTGGTATTGCGATATTGTACGATTATTGCTGTTGAGAGTATTTTCTACCGTTGGGCTGATGGATTCCTTTGCAAATTGATTGGGAGAATCGCTAATGTCTGCTGTTCTTGTACAGGACTGATTATAAGTAGCTTTGTTTGGATTTGATAGCTTGGGATCACCACCGTTGTTCACAGCTTCAAATGTAGCTTGTATATTTAATGAAATTGTGATCATTTTCTCCTTATGGGGGAGTCTAGGACTAGAGGGTGAAAGTTCCGGAAGTTGCTTTACGTTTGAGAGTTTCAATGTTCATCCATGATACATGATTTTCTGAAGTATCCCTAATGTGAAGGAATTCTTTGTCTTGCTAATGCAAGTAGATAACACATTGTTTTCTAGAGGAATTTGATCAATGAAATTAAAAGACCAGGAGCTGAAGAAGAGGTTCACCACCTCAAAAAATGAGGAAAGTTTAATATTGTGTTTCTGGACAGGGATAAAGAAAGGTCTAGCATTTACGAAGATCTTTATCAAGTCAGTTGTTCACTCTTGGCAAAATGTTTGAGTCCCACTCCAGAGACTTGACACAAAAATCTAGGATGAAACTTCATTGCAGTGAGGGAAGACTGCCCTGTCAGAGGTGCTGCCTTTCCAAAGATGTTTGCTGACGTACGGTACCTTCTCAGTTGGATTTTAAAAATCTCATTGCACTATTTCCAGAAAGAGCTGGGGAGTTATCTCCACTGTACTGGCCAATATTTATCACTTGATGAACATCACTAAAAGCATTTTAGCTGATCAGTATGATATTGCTGTTTGTGGGAACGTGCACTATGCAAATTGAATGCCACTTCACTATTCACATACAGTCTGTGTTTTGCACAACTATCTTACAGCAGAATTGTTCTTCGGTTTGTATTCTTTGCAGCCTGCTTCATTTTAAATTCAATCCTGAACATTTTAGAAAGAGAAATGGTTGCTAATAGTTGATCGTTGTTTTCTTTGCCCATTCAGGTGCAGTCTCTGGCTTCATCTCTTTCCACACGACAGTTACTCCGAATTTGCAACCGCTTCTCACACTATCCAGAAGAGAGTCTGTACCATGCTGTAAATAAAGCTTGTCTTTCCAGGTAACCTGGCAGTTTGTTCCCTGTGCCTGTAACTCAGTCAGAAGTTACACTACACCAGGTTATAGTCCAACAGGTTTGTTTGAAATCACAAGCTTTCAGAGCGTAGCCCCTTCATCAGCTGTGTGCTTTTCTCTCACTTCACCTGACAAAGGGGCTGCATTCCAAAAGCTTGAGATTTCAAATAAACCTGTTGGACTATAACCTGGTGTAATGTGACTTCTGACTTTGTCTACCCAGTCCAACACTTGCACCTCCACACCACTGTTACTCAGTGTTCAACTACTTTGAAGATCAAAGGTCAGGCTCTTCTTAATATTGCCCATTTTCAACTTCATTTAAGTGATAGTAGGCTGAATTTTTGTTTGCAGAGCTCATATGCCTGTTTTTTGTGTAGAAATTTGGATCAAGTTTGCAAACACATGCAATTGTTATGAAGCTGTTCCCTCCTCATCCATTTGGAGAGAGTCTTGTGTGCAACATCATCTTTAATGTCTGTCGTTTGCACACTGGGTCTCTTGTCTCTGGGTGGAATTCTTAATGTGAGCTTTGTTAAATTTCTCATGTGAATCAAATTCATTCGTATGTCTGTCTACTGAGCTCACAACCACATTGTAGTTCCAACGTACAAGAGAAAATTGTTAAAAGAAAAATAATTGATTTCATATCAACTACAGTATGACTAACACAGTATGTCTCAGGGTAAGAGAAATATTAACTGGCAATTGTGTTTCTCCAGGTTTTTGCCAAATCTTGCCAGATCAGCTTTGCAGAAAAATCTGAAAGATTCAGAGATTGAAGGATCATCTGATGACCTGGAGCAGCAGGAAAAGGCAGACATCAGATGTAAGTTCACATCCACTCCTTTTTGTTTTGTGTCCCTGTTGAATTGTGATGAAACTTCAGTATTTGTACAGTCTTCTGGTATTAAATCTGTGAATTGTCTACAATTGCAGATGAAATCAAGTCTGGGATTCTTACAATTGGGAAGGTTTCTGTTCCATTGTACAATCCAGATGAAAAGATGAAAGTACCAGATGTCCTCTTTTATGAAAACACTCAGGTAAAGCAAACTCAGTATACTGTTGTCATTTATGAAGGGGTAAACAGGGTTTGCATTAATCTGAGATAGCAGGAACTGCAGATGCTGGAGAATCCGAGACAACAAGGTGCAGAGCTGGATGAACACAGCAGGCCAAGCAGCATCATAGGAGCAGGAAGGCTGACGTTTCGGGCCTAGACCCTCTAGGCCCGAA